TACGACCTCCAAATATTAACTGTTTTGAAAGTAAAGGAGCTGTAGGTGAAAAATACTTAAAATGAGGTGAAAAGGGTGCAAGGGGTGGGTTGGGGCTTCATGCAATATGATGAGTGTTCTTATAAGAAGATGATCACGGGAAGACAGAGACACACAGAAAGAAGGCAGGGTGATGAGGAAAGCAGCTATCGGAGTCTCTCGGCTACACATTGGGAATTACCAAACACTGCCAGCCACCCCCAGAAGCAAAGAGACAGGAATGCCACAGCTAGGGGGAGTGAGGACTTCTCATCAACTTAGCTTAAATGCTGATCTTTCAGTACTGTAGAACACTGAGCTGCTGCTGTCTAAAGCTACCCTGTTCACAATACTTTGCTAGGGCAGCCTGAGGAGCCAAACACATACACCGTCTTATGTTTTAAAGCAAACGCTTCCCTGGAACTCTCCAGGTATGTGCCGTTGTACTGGTAACGGCGAGGAGCTATGGCAGTGGCTGGGGGCTGAAAAAGCACGGAGAAGGTGGAAACTGGAGTAAGGATAACGTCAAAAGTGTGCTGAGTTACTTTAACGGGATAGAGTTCTCAAAACAGATTTTGGAGATGAGCGCCTATTCCCGAGAATACAGTGCAATTCACAGGGTGCCCTTGGAATGGGCAAATTGTGTGACATTTGAGCGGCCTCGTGACAGCACTGGTGAGAACAACATACACATATTCTTTTAAGCAAATCTCTGAAAGACTTCAGATAATAGCTGCCTCATCACAGTACTGTGTCATCGCTAGGACGCAGGATCAGAGTGAGTTAGGAAATCATTGTGGGCAGACCTTACCGACATGGACGTCAAGGGAGTGAGGGGCGGACAGAAATTTCAAATGATTCTCAGAGATGATGGTACTAGGGTTAAGTCTCCAAGAAAACAGTTGAGTCAACCGGGAAAGGAAGTAGAGAAAGGAACTTGGCAGGGGGAGAGTCCCCCACAGAGACAGCTTCCGGTCGCCTGGTTATGACGCAAGAAGCCATTGCATAAGCACAAGCCTGTTCTCCAGGCTTGAGGCTCAGCGCGTCTTTCTGGAATGCAGCAGAAGGTCAAACCTACAGGCATCAAAAACATATATGTTCAAAATATAGCTGACATTTCAGTAGATTTACTTCGATTTCTGAACATAAGGATGCCTCTTAGTAATCACAAAATTTCATATATCATATCTAAGTATTTAAGAAAGATAGAAGCAGGGAAAATATCCTTTTGAAGTATGATTTTAAAACTGTTAGCTATCATACTTCAAATTAAAGAAAATACATCTGAATATACTATCTTTCTGTCTTACAAAGTTTACAGCAAGTTTTGGAAAGATGAGTTAGTGCTCCTTGGAGGTGTGAACTGAATGTGAAGATTATCCCACCTTAAAGCTGAAATTCTTTTGTTGGTGTTGGTGTTGGTGGTGTTGGTGTTGGTGTTGTATAGGCCAGCTCAGCTCATAAGATGATGCTGGGATTTTGATCACTGCTAGAATTTATTGTAATTATCATGTGTCTACATATAATTGTGTGGCATATAATTGTAGTATACTTTTATAATAGATTAATATTTTCAGTAAAAATGTTTTAATAAGTAATTGGAACTCAAAAGTACTCTAAGTTAAATTTCTGCTCATTATTTTAAGACACAGGAGAGAAAGTATACTGAATAAATCAAGAACATAGGGTACAGAACCAGACAAATATGATTTTAAGATTTTGTTCCACCTATTTCTAATGTTGGGCATTTGAATAATTGCCTAGACTTTTTTGTTTCTTCATTCTGAAAACAGGATATGACAGTACCTACCCACAGAGTGCAGTAGAATTTAGAAAAACGATGCTAAGTGCTTGCTAGGCATATTGATTACTTTCTTTTTTGGTAAAGAAAGTAAAAGGATTTCTTAGCTAATTTGCATTTGTCAGGTATTTCACTTCTTTTAAGTTCTTGAGGAAGCAAAAGAACTAGATGACAGGATTCACTTGCTGTTTTTATTTAGTTTTTAACATATAAAGTCGGGGGCTGGGGATTTAGCTCAGCGGCAAAGTGCCTGCCTGGCCCGCGCAAGGTCGTGAGTTCGGTTCCCGGTACCAGAGAAAAACCAAAAAACATATAAAGTATTGGTAGCAGAGAGACTCAAAATATGTCTTTTGAACTTAGATTGCTCGTATTTGAGTATTACCTTCAATATCTACTACATCCATATTGAGATTTCCTACCACAGGTTTATTATTGTAAAGTAGGTAAATTTAACAATATTTTCCTAAAGAGAATAAAATATGTTGACTGCAATATGGAAAAGTACCCAGCACTAGCGGTGATCTGTAAATGTTACTGGTGCACAGCAGGCCTATCCACACCATGCTGGACAGCGGGACTGCTGCAGGAATGACCGCCAGAAGAGGCGTGACTATACAGAATCACACTCCATTTATCCCAGCAGGAGACCGTCAGACACAAGCCTTAAGATGTTCACAGCAATTTAGCTCAAGAAGAAATGCATATTGTTATCTCCAAACAATATGTAACACAACAACCATTGTTAGTTTCCTATCACCTTGTCTGAAGTTCCGTATTGTTTTTATTGTTTTTGTGTTGTTTTGTTTATGTCCTAATGTATGTTAATATGTATTTGTTCTTTTACCTTTAAAATTAAAAGAGAAGAATATGCACAACTCAATATTTAGGTATGGTAGGAATCTACTTCTAACATTCTAAAATAATGTAATTCAACATTAATTCAAATTATAAAATGAATGGTTCCATTTAACAATTTAATCGGCAGAACTGAAGAAGACATAGCAAACTGTGGTGAGCAGATGCTGAACAAGATAAAGCACTGAGCAAAAACATGTAAGAGAAGAAAGGAAAAAGAATTTTTAGAAGAGGTAATGGCAGAGTTTTCCAAATGTTAATGTAAGACATCAATTTATAGATTCAAGAAGACATAAAAATCTCAAGAAATACTTAAGAAAAGAAGAAAAAAACATCTAATCAATTATTTTATAAAAAAGTTAAACTTCATGTAATTTAAAATATTTATTTCATGGACAGTGAGCAGAGAGACTTAATTCCTAGCTTGCCTATCAAAGGAAACATGAAGACTGTGTTTTAGACAGGGACAAAAGAATTATAGACAGTGGGATGAAGAAAATAACAGAGAATAATTAAATGTTCAAAGTAAATAGTGAGCTCATCATTGTCTAACATACATCAGCACACAGTGCAAATCACATAACAACTTGAAAGATAATCACACAGTGATACAAAGAGTTTAACCTACATCTTCTAAAACTATAAAATGTTCTCTCGAATTATAACTACTATGCTCCCTATATATTATGTTAATATTATGTTAAAATGAAGTAATAAATTTATATATTATATAATTTGGACTTTCTATTTTGAAATTCTGTGTGAATTCAAAACTGATTTATATATTTGCATGTGTCATTTTGAACTAATAATGTTAAGAGATCCTTTCATCCATGAGATCCTTTCATACTGTTGCATGTACTATATAATATACCTTTTAATAAATATGTCACAAATAACTTACTTCACTGTTGCCAAACACTTTAGATTTGCATACACTTTCCCCATATGCATTAAAATTATAGTCAGTATGTTGATTCATAAATTTAAGGGAAACACAAATGCACATAAACACACCCAGGGAAGTATTTCAGTAGCAATTTGTCTACAAATATAAATGCATTACTTCACCTCCAAGACTTACTTATTTTTTTATTTCAAATATCTTCAATGCTATTCACTTTTAGAAACAATAAGGCAATTATGAATAAAACTGGTGAAATCTTTCTTACCTCAAACATGTTGATTTTTGTGCTTGACCAGAAAATTCAGAAGACATTTCAACTCTTCAAGACCCAATCAAAAAATGGGCATCTAGGGGTTGGGGATTTAGCTCAGTGGCAAAGCGCCTGCCTGGCAAGCGCAAGGTCGTGAGTTCAGTTCCTGGTACCGGAGAAAAACCAAAAAAAACAAAAACAAACAAACAAACAAAAAATGGGCATCTGAGATGAATACACACTTCTGAGATGAAGAAATACAAATGGCAAATAAATATATATTAAAAAAGTTCAACGTCATTGTTCATTTGAGAAATGCAAATTAAAACAACATTGAGATTTCATGTCACCCCAGAAAGAATGGCTGTCATCAAACGAGGCTGTGGGAAAAAGGAACCCTTCCCCACTGTGGGTGGGAATGTAGGCTGGAACAACCAATGTGGACATCAGTGTGGAGACTACTCAGAAAAGTAGAATTAGAGGTCTCGTTTGACCCAGCGATTTCCCTTCTGGGTATTTTTCCAGAAAAATTGAAAAATTGTCATACCGCAGCAATATATGTGCACCTATGTTTATAGCAGCACAATTTGTCATCACTAAATCTTGAAAACAACCCAAAGGCCCATCAACTGAGGACTAGATAAAAAGGATGTGGTATACAATGGAATATCACTCAGCTATAAGGAAAGGTAAGCTCAAGGCTTTTATAGGTAAATGGATGCAACTAGAGACCATACTCATAAGTGAAATAAATCAGACACGTGTATACATCATATTGTCTCCATAGTATAAGAACCTGAAAGAATAAGTAAAATCCAAAAAGGAGAACAGATATTGTGAAAGAGAAAGAAATTGCTCAAAGGGAAAGAACAACTGGGATAGAGGAGGGGAGAAAAGAAAGAAAGAAGGAAGATATATATATATATATATATATATACAAGATAGATACAATAATTTTACTACTAATTTCCATGAGTTTACTGAAAAGAACAGCTAATGCTTAATTGTTTGATCAATTTTGCATGCCTATATCTCACAATCTGAACAGCTACTTTGAAGATAACAATATGCAATAGAACAACCACTGTTAATTCCCTATCATCTTGTTTTGAAATTCTGAATTGTTAATTTTTAAAATTTTTTTATTCTATTTAAAATAAAATAAATAGGAAGATTTGGTTGGTCTGGTGGATGTGAAGACCAACAGGAAGCCAGCCACGTATTGATGGCTTGCCCCACCGTGCTCCTCTGAGAGATGTCTACAGGATGCAGGTGGACAGACTGGAGTCTCTTGTGTTTTACCAAAGGGACAGCTTGGTCTTTAGACAGTAAAAAGACAAGGAAATGGTAAATAATTTTTTCCATGAACATTAGAATCACATTCTTGATATCTGTCTGAAGTTTTCTAATATTTGCTGAAAATATACCTATGACAAATGGCAACATAATCAAAGTCTCATAAAGTGCACAAAGAAACTTATCTGCAAAGGGTAGAATTATAAAGTGTGCACACGACGAGGAGAGGAATAGAAATGTTAGAGATAACAATAAACAACGTGAACAGTTTTACCTATTATTTTTTTCTCTATGGGTTGACTCTTAGCATTCGCATATACCTTGGGCTATTAACTCTCTATGCCCACATAAACTTTCTGAGGCCTAATAAGCACATGTTTTACCAATCCCTTCACACAGACCATTGCTAATATTATCACAAATACAGGAAGAGTTCAAATATTAAATTGGTTACATTTTGTTTAAAAAAGGAAAAAATTTTATCATCTTACATGTACTTAGGGAAGTCATAGATCATGTCACGCTCTTTGTACTCCTAAAATAAAATAGCCGAGTGAGTTGTCTGCCAACTAAATTTCACGTGAATATGCACTGCAGCTGTTGTATCAGTTAGGGTCTGCTCCAGGAACAGAATTAGTAAAAAATATACGTGTGATTGCATGAGCGGGTTTGTTAGATAGTCTCACAGCATCAGAGCTGGAAGAGGGCACAGTGACCGTCTGCGTGACAAAAACCAGGCACCCAGCAGCTGCTGAGTCCAAGATGGAAGCCACAGCCAAGGCGAGATTCAAGATGCAGCATTAGTTCTCAAGAGGCTCGCTTCTGTGAGTCTGAAGGGGAAGGCTGAAGAAACAGGAGACCCAGGAAGCAAAGTCCACGGGAGACAGGAGCAAGGAAGACCTGCTCAGGAAGGTTGGAGCTCATCTAATGCAGGCACACCTCCTTTTCCTATCCCTTTTTATCCCACTCAGGTTGCAAGCCTACTGGCTGTTGGTGCATACATCTAGAGTGGATCTTCCCCTCTCCATTTCCTGGCCTACATGTCAATCATCCATAGACACTTCCAGAACTGTGCTTTACTAATCTGCTAGGCGTTTCTTCATTCAAATGGACATATTTTGATTAATAGTCATATTGTGTTTTATACACACCATGATATATATGTATGTATATATATATATAATATATATCCTAGTACATTGTCTGTTATATATTAAATGTACAATAAATAAGTCCTGAGAAAGAACATAAGTGTGTGACTTTTCAAGCAAATCAAGGATGTAGATAGTCAAGATAATTAGTAATGTATTGACTAAGTTACTCTTCAGTAAGTAGTCCCTAAAGTTTTTATTGCTTTGAAACAAAGACATCTATTTACTGCTCAGGCTTTGAGTCTCATGAAGGCTGGCCACAGAATGAGCTCATAGAACCAAGCTAATTGAGGTTCCATCACTTGACTCCATCTCAGGGGAAGAGGTCCAAGTTTTCCAGAGCAGAGGAGAAGAGCATAAAAATTTCCTCTCAGCTCTGCAATGTTTCTACATCAAAGGAAAGTGGTTTCATTTCGCAAGACCGTACCTAACTCTCAGAGAGATGTAGTATGAACATCCCAAGACCTCTGAGGGAAGAAGGGCCAAGACTGTGGAAGAGTTGTAGTCATTTCTGCCTCATCAAGAAATTACTTACAGCCGGGCAAGGTGGAACATTCCTGTAATATCGAAATTTAGGGAGTCTAAGGCAAGAGAATTGAAGTTCTAGTCCCACGTGGGCAACTTAGGAAGATACTGTCTCAAAATAAAAAATAAAAAGAGGATGTGGCTTGATATTAAGGAACCACAAAAAGAACAAAACAACCTCTAAAAGAAAAAAAGCTAATTTTACAATTATCTAATGGACAGAAATTTTACTAGGAGGTTTTAAACGCCGTGAGGAATATGAGACATAGGGGATATTATTGGACAGAATATATATAGACAGACAGAAAGAACAATCTCAGAATAACAATGTAGTTTTAATGGAAAGAGTAAAAAATATAGGCTGGAATCCAAGTTCTAACTCTTGTCTGCTATGTGCCCTGGGAGAAGTAATTTATTATTTAAATTGTTCATTCTTTGCAGGAATTGAGCAAATGACAATGGTCAGTCAGAGTAAAATTTGGTGAATATGTAGAATTTGCATTTGATTGATTGTGATAGTCACTGGCTTCCATGACCACACTGAGCCTGAGGTCCATTAGTTGTAAAATGGAGATAATAGTATATAGTTTATTCTGTATTAGTCTGTGTTTGTAATACATAATGATTACATTGTAATTGCATCCACATAGAATTTGTTGCTTAAACATCTTAATAGGTAAAATGATGACAGTTGATCGACAATTTATCAGTAATAAAGTATTAATGTAGAATTTTAATCAATGTGGAACAAGCCTACAATCAAGTAGACAAAAATGCACATTTAATAAAAATAACAGGTAATGGAATTTAATACTAAGTGATGTTACTAAGAAAAAAACAATGTGAATGTTTAGGCTTTAAAAAATATTACATTAAAAGACACAATGGCATTAACCTCTGTCCAAATACAGCCATTTGCATTGAACACACTCATCCCTCCCTTCTTGCCACCTTCTGAAGCAGTTCTGGAAGTCCCTTTTCATGAGTGTCTTTAATTACATCTTCTTGGCTGCCTCCATATCCTGAATCAATTCAAAATGTTAAGCTAGTGTGAGCATTTTGACTTTGGGGAAGAGCCAGAAGTCATGCAATGCCTGTCCCAATGAATTGTGTGGCTCAGGATATGCAGTCATGTTTTATAAACTTGCCCTTCCACTGAATAGAGCTCTGCAGCAGCATTCTCAGGAGTTTTGATCTACACCCACTTTCTCAGCACCCTGTGAGTCCAGCTCATTTGTACATGCTGTTTTGTCACTTTGGTGGTCATTTTTCCTGACATTTTGAAAGTCAGAGGATCGTGATTTAAAGATACAAAAGCATATCCAATGAGACAATAATGGCAATCAAAAATTCAGACACAATAAATGCTGGTGAGGTGGTGGGGGAAAAGGAACCCTTAACATTGTTACTGGGAGTGCAAACTAGTACAACTATGGCAGTCAATATGGAGATGTCTTACTTTTCTCTTGTTGCTGAGACAAAATATTTGACACCCAAAATTAAGGAAGGGAAGCTTTATTTAGCTCACAGCTTGTAGAGGTTTCAGTCCATAATCAGCTGACTCCAAGGTAGGGTGGCATATTGGGGCGCAACTCTGAAAGGCAACAGAAGATAGCAAAAGCAACAAGAGTAAAAGGTGGGGGAGATCAAGGCTCTTTTCCTCCCTTATACTGTATGCAGGCTGCCTTCCCCAGGGAGCTCCTTTACACCCACCTCATCTCCATCTCCATGCCTTCCTCTTGCACAGGATGAACACTTTCACAAAGTGAGGATGCTGACCCCCGCTGAGTCCCTTAGTTAAGCTTCTAAACTTCTCAAGGTGACACAATGTATCAACCATTACAAGAGATTACACAAAAAATTAAAAATACAAATTCTATTTGACCCACCTCTATCCCTTCTAGGTACTTTCCCCAAACAGTTAAAAGACATCATATCATAGTGGTACATGCACACCCTTGTTCTCAGCAGCACAACTTATAATAGCTAACTCATGGAAGGGCCAAATGTCCATCCACAGATGAATGTATGAAGAAAACATGCTATATAAATGATATAATACAAGTCTGCTCAGCCATAAGGAAGGATAGATTTGAGACATTTTAGAAAAATGGATGGACCTTCAGATCATAACGCCAAGTTCAGTAAATTGGACCCAAAAGATTAAGTGTCACATAGTGTCTTTTATGAGATATCCAAATGCTAAACAATTAAAAGACCAAAAAGACAAGACAGATGATCAGAAACAGAGATGAACGTACACTGTGGGATAATGATGAGCTGCTCTGAGGATGGGTGGAGACCAGAAGGGGAAAGGAAGAAGGGCCAGGGATCCAACTCAGCGGCACAAGTGTCTGCTGGGCAAGCACAAGGTCCTGAGTTCGATTCCTGGCACAAAATAAAAGTGAAAAGAGAAAGGAAAAGAAAGTAAAAGGATCAAGATGTAATATGTATTGTATAAAGGCCAGTTTTCCATGATGAATGCATAGTATATTGCAAATATATACTAACAGAACAGGACAAAATAAACTTGATAGAATTGAAAGGAGATAAAAGAAGTAAGTAAGAAAGCTAAAACTTTGGTCCTCTGGATAACAGTATTGAAAAGAAAATGATAATTATGCATTTCCAAAGCATGATTAAATTAAATGAAATTAAAATGACGAATGAGCATTTTAATGATAATTTTTGGGCATATATATATATATATAGTCTTTGAATCCCTTGGATATTATTCTGAATTACTTAAGGAATTCAGAGATGGGTGTAATTCATTTTAATGATATCGGAGTAGAGAAGGTAAAGGAATATGCTTCAAAAACATCCCCAGTTAATTGTGATAATAAAAGATATCTTAAGGGACTCAGACAGATTGATGATCTCATCAGGCAGAATGTTTTATAAGAGGCTTATTCATAGCAGATGTTTAATTTAGGCTCAAATAGGCTATGGAGCTGAGTTGCTTTCTGAAGTCTACAGGAATCTACTAAAACGTGCATGGTAAATATAACGATAGCAGAAAATTAGGAATATTGTTGTAGGGAGTAGCTAGCTTTGAGGTAGAAGAATTACTAGGGAAACCCTTTGAAAAGAATTCTGAGATTTTTAAACCTTATAAATCAGTTGTTATTCTCCATATGCCCAGCTAGTCTATGGTACTGAGATCTAAAGCAATGCACATGGATGTGTGATGTGGATTCTCTATGATCCATTATTGTACTGTCATGAAATTATTAGCTGGAAGGAATGACCATACTGAAGATTTCTCTAGAACATCTCATAACTCTTGGTGTTGCCTGGACCACTATGTGTGCTATTTCTTTGGAGGTATGGTTAGCCCTCTCAATCAATTGGAGAAAATGTCACTGACAGAGACTCTGTCCCCCTCGTGGATGCCCTATGATAGAGAGGCTATGATTTAGGAAGAAATCACCTTCTCTTCACTACAATTCAAAGATGAAACTTGCATGCAACTCCAGATTGGGGCTATAGGAAGGAAATTAATGACTGCTGATCTGATAAGAATACCAGGAATCATGTGACACCAAGAAGGATGGCAGAATTATAGTTGGTGATAAATTTGAAGGAAACTTTGTCTTTAGAAATCTTGTAAAATGTCCAACCATTAAACGACATTCTCCTAAGTCAGTGCCTGTGTATATACGAACCCCAACACAGCATCAGCACAAGACTTCCAAACATGTGTGTACCTGCTCATGAGCATTTGCTGGTTTACTGACAATGAAAGAACAAAATATATGAAGCAATAATTCACTTTCAACAGTGAATCTGAAATCTATTATGCATTTTAAAAGATTTAATGATAAAAATAAAATGCTTATCTAGTTAATCAGATGCTATAAAACATAAGAAAAGGGCAAGAAAGGTGCACACCAGGCACTATAAATAACATTATGGAATGCACAGCTCATCAGAATTTTGTTAGATTTTAATTTCTAAGATTAAAATAGGAATGTGATATGTGTTATTTAGGTTTCTAAGACAAAAACATTTCTCAATGATGGGAAATCCTTACTCAAGGATAATATTGTCCTCATGGATGTTACTGAAAAGTTAATAACAGCTAATGGTCAGTTTTACTCTCAGTTGTCTATTTGAAGTTGGGACAAATAATTGAAAATCACACGCAGCTCCTGTATGCTATTGTAATTAAGGGATGTTGAAGTGTTAATTTTCTGCAGTGGACAGGTCCTGATCAGGTATTAGCTTTTACTGTACTTCCTTTAGAATTGCACAGGACCAGCTTTATAATTGTCATTACCACTGAACAATAAAATGGTGCTGTGAACATCCAGTTTGATGGTATGAGGCCCATGCAACATCAGTTGGTAATGGGCAGTTTAGCTGCATTTCACACTGTTACCTAGGTCACAAGATCAGATATACAGCCCTAGGAACAGAGGATAATTAGCACTAGAGAAAGACAAGTACTATAATCCCTCCTCTGGGACTTCTCAGAAACTCTTCAGAGCTGCCCTGCTTGCCATTGCCACTTTGGGTCCCAGGGTTGGGGAAGTTTGAACTACATCTTGTAACTGATATGGAGTTTTCCTTGCCCCGAATACAACTTCGTGTGTCACCCTAATAGACTTTGATCAATGGGTCAGAACATCCTACTAAAAGGTGCCTGTTTCATTATGTGAGCAGTAGTATAAGATTCAGACAATTGCCTTCCAGATCACTGGAATGTTAGAACATTTTCCCATTTATCAGAACCCTGGATTTCATGGGATTCATGTTGTTCTCCTCTCCTACATTCACAGTAACATTTGCGGTGCCCTGCTCAGCGGGTCTGGTTAGCACAATATCATCAGTGAACAGGGAGCATGGTGTTCTTTATGCTGTTAAGAAGATTAACATACCTGAAAAGCATATTTTGCAGAGAGGGTGAGAGTTGACATTATCCTGAGGTAAGGAAATTATCCCATGGCTGTCCAAGTCTCAAGGGGGAAAATGATAGGTGATCTTTTTTGAAGGAGGTGAAATGAAAGAGCAATGCTAGAACAATATCTCATGCCATACACCAGAGGCTGTCTTTGATCCAGCAAAATCACACATCTGTAATCTCAGTTGGGGTTAATGTCACCTCCCAATTATATTTTTATTCAGCAAAGTTCTCCTGCCATTTTCAGCCAGACCTTAAAGCAGTTCATACAGGGCCATTGGAGGAAGATCCCACATCTTCAATGCCTTGCGGTTGGAGGCACATTCTTCTGTCCTGCCTGGGTGCAGTAGTTTCTTCAATTTACTACCACAGACATGAAGGGTAAGCACAGCACTTTTGCTTTATCCTCCCTAAGGTGACAACTCATTTCCCAGACATGAGTACCAGCGTGAAGATCCTCCATGTTATTAAATATATCTGTTCTCCATATGCATTCTAAAATGTGGACAATAACCCCAGCATTTACCACAGCCAGACAGCTGGCCAGATTTGGCCTGTAGATTGACCTCTTACAGAAGTTTACAACAACTGCTCTGGCAATTCAACCCTATTGATTGCTATAAATCAATTAGCTAACTAATGAACTGCCCATGCCACTAGGGGCTAGATGGATCAATGTATAAAATTACTACTCTTTGATGAATATATTGATATATTTTTATGCTTATTGATCTAACATTTTCAGAGACTACTCTGATGTCATCCACAGTTTCCTTTACTTGTGTTTCGCAAATATTCTGCAAGTGTTTTGTTGTTTAGAGTGTTCTCTGCTGGAGGAGTCCTTTATCTCCTCTGTCTGGGCTCCTCTGACTCTTGTTTTGAGGCTGGGACTTTAGAGGTGAGAGGAAGGACAGTTCGTGGAATGTTCCTCTTCTAGTAGGGAAGAGTTACTTCAGCACATGAAACCCCCTTTAGATGATTTAGGTGTTAATGTTCCTAGGCTTGAGTCTGTCTGCTGAGATACCTCCATCCCATGACTTAGTAGCACTCCCCACCCCTGCTTCTCTTTCTTTAGTAAAACAAAAATTCTCATAGAGTCACACGTGCTATGCCTCTGTGATGACTTCAGCTGGGAGCTGGGACTGATGTTCAGCCTAGTGCTATAGAGCATTGAGGCCATGTTTGAAGCTGTCTGATGGCCCTGAGTTTCCCACATGCACCTCCAGCTGAGCCTGCATGAGTGTCTTTCAGTGGACCCTCTTCAAGGCCCCCTGAAACTGCACGCCTCTGCCTTAATTATTTCCCTTCTCACTCTAGCTATAGGAACACAGCCACAATCACCTGCACTCCAACAGGATGCCACTATGTGCTACTGGTCCTCATGTCCCATTTCCCTTTAAAAGAATATAATTCCCCCATATGATGTAATGGCTGATACACTGTGTGAACCTGAGAAGTGTAGAAGCTTAACTAAGCGAGTCAGCAGGGGGCCAGGGTCCTCACTCTGTAAACATCCTGAGCCTGTGCAAGAGCAGAGCACCGAGATGATGTGAGTGCTATACCCGCTCTAGGCGAGTACCCTGCATGCAATATAAGGGAGCAAAAGAGGACTGCTCTCCTGCTTTTAGCTTTGGTTAGTTTTAAGTCTTCTACCACCAACAACTGTGACCCCTCAGCCATGCCACCCTGCCTTGAAACCTACTGATTACAGACTGAAACTTCCACAAACTGTGAGCTAAATAAACCTTTCCTCCCTTAATTTTGGGCTCTAGGTATTTTGTTTCAGCAATGAGAGAAAACTAACTAAGACATACGCATTTACTCAATGCCAGGATTTTACTTGGATCTCTTTTGTGTAGCTGGTTCTAATGATAGTTTCTGTATCTGTCAAAGGAGTTGTGCTCTCAGGAAAAGAATAGAAGAGACTTAATAGTTTTTAAAGAATGACTAATTTACAGTGGTGTTTACTGGCTTGTGTTTGCCAGCATTGTATGATAAGGGACCCCCGTGTCTTCAGTAAGGGAGAATCCATCATGGCACCAAGTCTGAAAAAGCAAGCAGTTGGAGCATTTGATCTCCACAGAGACAAATGGCTGTAGGAGACAGCTGATGAGCAGAGGCGGTGCCTGTGGTGCTGGAATACAGCAGAACCTGAGCTGCAACCTGCAAGGGAAGAGCCCGGGGATCCTGCTTCTTCACTTCCTGCTGTGTGATGATGACTGTGCTATGCATTGACTGACACCACCCAGAGGACAAAGAAGCCAGGTTAAAACCAGCTGTAAATGTTTCCTAGAGGAGAGAGCAGGTGCAGGAGTAGACAGTAGAACAAGAAGGGAAAAGTCAGAAAATCAAGAGATCTTGAATCGTGGCCAAACTTTTTATCTTCTACTAGTCTCGGTTTCTTTATAGGCAAATAAATTCTGTTATTTACTTTAAAAAGCAACAGTAAATAATGCCTTGTCTCATGCTATGTATCCACTAACTTTTTTTTGTTGTTGTTGTTTTTTCTGGTACCGGGAATCAGACTAACGACATTGTGCATGCCAGGCAGGTGCTGTGCCGCTGAGCTAAATCCCCAGCCCCTGTATCCACTAACTTATAGTTGCTCAAGTTATTGCTTTGAGCTTTGCACAAAAATAAAAGAATAGAAGTCTATAAGTAATATCATTTGATGGTTAAAATACTCTGAGTCAATATGCAACATGTTTTACATATTATCCATAAAACAACTATAAGAAAATCGTATTATTTGTATTAAAAACAATGATATTTAATGATGAATAATAGGATAGGTATTCAATAAATGGTAAGTTCTCTTTTTATTATTTGCAACTCTACAATAAAAAATGTAAAAGTCTTGGGGCTGGGGATTTAGCTCAATGGCACAGCGCCTGCCGGGCAAGTGCAAGGTCATGAGTTCAATTCCCAGTACCGGAAATAAACAAACAAACAAAAAAATGTAGAAGTCTTTTTCCTAGGAGCATTACTTTCTGATAAGTAAAATATCTATGACATTTATGCAGTTATTATTTGTACATATTTCTAAGTTATAACCTGTAAAACTTGAAACATTAATTGAAGGAATACAAAAACACACAGCCAAGTGAGACATCCAAAAATTACTATTATTTATTAACCACTGGGGTAAGAAAAAAGTATAGAAAAAATAACTCTATAAAGAACAATTCAATATGAATAAATAGTGAGGAGTGATACCAAGGTCATTCCACAGTGATGGTCTAAACTGAGCTATGACCTTAAAAGTAGGAATGCCAAAGAGATTGCACAAGAACTATCATTTTTCCTGCTGAAACTGCAATGTTTGGCCCTACTGGACTTGTGGACCCATCAGCTTCTTTTCTTGTTTTGCACCCTGCATGTGTCACACCCCGTGTCTTGGCAAAGCATGTGCTGCTATTACACTGAGCTCCCTCAATCTCCTGTTTGTATTTGCTCTCCTCACTTTGTCCAAGATGCATTTGGATGTTCGGTATAATCTAGACACTGACATTCCCAGAGAGAAGGGAAAAGAGGAAACTTATACCAAATTATGGACTCTGCTATTTAAAAGAGCTTCACAAAATTAATTTCTGGTTATCAGAAGATATTTAGGGCTCCAGAAAATTAACCCAGTGGGAAGAGAAGTTCCTGTTATTTTGATTACCTTATATAATCTATAGGGGCAAGTAATACCTACTCTCCACCTCTACCAAAAGTTGAAAGAATTCAAAATCAGTGGACAGCTATTTTCCCACTAGTGCTATACTCCTAAGAGAGAAAACTTAGTACATAATAGAAACTGTCCAAAATAATCTCATAAGAGTTCTTGTAACCCCAGCCATATGGCTTAACTCATGACCTTCCCTGTCATGATTGCTATTCTGGGTCTTGATCTTGACAGCCTCAGAAAGTCTCAGTTCTACTTCTTTCCCTGTGATCAGGGAATTCAATAATTCATCTCCTGACAACTATGTACAGACACTGCCATCATGCCCTGAGGAGTCACACAGGGCCCACACATTCTCAAGGCCACAAAGAGGAAGATCATTTCCCTTGCTAGACAGGGTGCACGGGACGGTGTTGAAAAGAAGCAGTTGGCTCAGTTTGGTTTTGAACATGACGCTTTGTTTTCGTCCTATTCATGAAGGAGGCAGAACCAGAATGGAAGTCTTCTGAGCCACATAGAATGCACCTTTCTCCTTGCTGCTCTCACTAAGCCTCAGTTCCCTACCCTGTCATGTGTTCTCACCTCTCTCCCTGGCACCCCACATCATCTATCAATTCTTTAGGAATTCAAATGCTAGGGTTCATCTAGGTCTGACACAGAATGATCCAAACTAAAAAGATTTCTGATTCTTCTGAGGTATTTTGAATAAAACAAATAGAACAAAGTCACAGAGGTACACCAGTTCTTAATGACTGTTAACCAGAAGAGGCAATCAGTCAGCTTCTGAGACTGTTTCAAGCCACCTCGAAATTCCATTTGTGTGTCAGGGCTGTAGCTTTTTCTGTCGTCCATAGTCACTTCCTTCTCACCACATGTGTTGATTTCCTGTTGTATGTGGTGACTTCCTGTTGTGTGTGGTGACTTCCTGTTGTGTGTGGTGACTTCCTGTTGTATGTGGTGACTTTCTGTTCCCTCAGATACACACTGATGACAATACTTTCAGTTTACACATGGCCTACTGTCCTCTTTGTCCAGGTAGCATTTCAGTTTAGTTCCATCAGAAACTCTTATTTCATGAGTATATCTTGCTTAATACTTCTGAAGGAAGCTTGTTTTGCCAGCTACTTCATGGGTCCCTGTCTCCCTTCCCATCATACAGCTGTCCCTGTCTCCCTTCCCATCGGGCAGCTGGCCTGCATATGACCTGGCTTTCACTCCTACTCAAATCAGCTCCTGGGAGGAAATGAGTGCAAAGCATGAATCAAAACAAATAATGTCTCTTCATCTTTGCAGAGCCTTGGGCTGTGATACTTGTCTCCATGTGAAGGCCTTAGCAGATCTGCTAGAAGCCTGTCACTGTTCTGTTCAACAGTCACCCTCTAACTTATTGTCCCCTAAGTAGCCTTGAGTACCTCTCAGTTCTGTTTCCATTCCTTTCAATTTACTACATATTCTCAGGCATGAAAACTAGTCCCTTATCTTATTAATCCAGTGGTGGTATTGTTGATTTCTCTGCTTCATTTGTTATATTACTTCCTTCACAAAGGAGTTTCACCAAGAGTGTTTTGGCATTGTATTTTCTTTCCCTTTTTAATAATTTTTGCGTCTCTCTGTCATATCTTTCTCTCACCAGTGAAGTATGGGCTCCTTCTCCAATGTTTGCACTTGCTCTTTTAATCTTCACTCCATGAATTCTTCCTTTGTGATTCATACATGGGGCCCTTGCATGTTTGTTCCATCTTCAGATTACGGCAACACATTACACATATTTATTTACATAAGTACACATGTATATGTCACTGAAAATTGGAATTTTGAAATGGAAGAAATGAAAACATACCTAAGGGAGAATAAGGTAGAGAGACTACCCTGCAATAACCTCAATGAAATGTGAAATACCACCATACATGCAGAACGATACTTTTTCCCTTGACATGATTAAAGCATCTAGAAATTGTGGTACCTGCTATAACTTGGGAAGGTGAGGCAAATTCACACTGTGAATTTGAGGTCAGCCTGGACTCCATAATGAGACTCTGTCTCAAAGATAGAAGATAGATAGATAGATAGATAGATAGATAGATAGATAGATACATTGACAGATTAAAAAATAAAAGAATGTCCTGGCTCTGTACATGGAAAATTTCAGACCAAAAAGAAATGGCATAAATCAGTGGAACTTGGATGAGAAAACATACATGATAAATGTGGTAGAAACACAGTAACACAAATAAGAAAGTAAATACAAAAGAAAGTAGAACAGGAAAGAATGGATGAATGTTCAAAATGTTTGAAATGGATAACAGGTGAAATTTTGAATCTCTCCTACCAAGTCAGACTTGGGGGCATCCCCAGTATGACAAGTGGGAGATGTGAGTGAGGAGACTTCTTACTAGCTTCATGAGTCACAGCTAACATGCACACTGTCCCATCCCTTTCTTTTATACTTCTGCTCCTAGCAAACTACTAAGAAGTAGAAGTTCCCACCACAACTTTTCCACAACTACTAAGCCTTTCTTTCAACAAATCAATCTCTCCCTTGTTCAAAATGCTATGGCATTTTCCCACCAACTGGAAAACAAAATCAAGAATTACTGTGTGCTACATTTTTCCTCTCTACACTTTCTTTCCTACAGCCATTTTCTACAAATTGTCATTATTAAACTTAAATCAAGCTGGCTGTTGTTGGAATGAGAACTTTAGGTACAGTCTTCTCAATAGTGCTTTCTCAATGAGCAGGTTTTTCTGAAAGGTAAGCTATAATCAATTTCTTTCTCAACTCCAGTATTACACTGGGATTAGGTATGTTGATAAGTTTGTCTTACAAATGTCATATTTTTGGTATATATTTCATGTGATTATTCTTCTATGTTTTGTTGTTTTCTGGTCCTTGGCAAATGTTTTCATATGTCTGCGTCCTAGTTTCAGCATTTCCTATAGCTTCCTGCCTTACCCCTTTAAAAAGTTAAATTCTTCATGCAGATCTACAAGAGATTAAAGTCCCTAATTTCTACTAAATCTTCTTCCCTATTTGGACTCTTCAGCTGGTTCCAGTGGCACCTTGACTGTTCTTTGACATACTGTGAATAACCTACGAGAGGGCCAGCCTATGCCCCGCCAACTGTCTCTCCCAACTGCCTCTCCCATGGAGTTTATCACACCTGACCAACGCCTGTACGCTGCTTCTGCTACACATTCTCCTTGACAAGGAATCTCTCCCAAGTATCTTCATGACTATTTCTCTACCATTCAACCTTTGTTCCACTCTCCTTTCCTGAGATTATTTTCTTTTATCATAACATGAACGTTCTTTTCCATATTCCATGTTTATGCAGTGGTAGAACACTGAGTCATAGTTATAAATACTTTTATAAATACTAATTATAAATACTTTAAAAATACTTTATTCATACTTGGGTACAAATGGAGCAGGAAAACTAATTCACAGTTCTCAATAAATGGAAGCGGATTGACAGTACTCTTTAGATCATGTTATTTGTAAAAATGTTATTAAGCTGGTCAACTTGGAATATGTCAATTGCCTCCTTCCTTAGTGATTTTAACGTAGTTGTGAGATGTGTTTGCTATTTTGGAAAAATGAAAGAGAAATAAGTGTGTTGTGTGATCAAAACAGAGTGAATTTTTAAATCATAAAAAGTATTACTGTAAGAGACACATGGCAATTATTTCCCCTCAAAATATCCCCTCCAGCTTCAAGTACACTTATTCCATCATTCTTGCCACTGTCTGGGAATCTCTGGGAGACTTTCTTGAGTGTCTTTACTGGAACTGTGACTG